TTGTCCCCAGCCCAGACCTTGCTCCCCCTATTTGCTGAACATCGAGTGAACTGAGCACCATTAGGAACCGAGTGGTCTATCTCATTTCGCCTTTGTATCGGTCACGATGTGCTAGGACCTGCTGCGTTAACACATGGCCCCTGATCTTAGCAGCTTAAAGGACAAGGCTTCTTTCTCATTCTGGCTAAATAGCCAGTGCAGTCTAGCAGAGGAACTCTTGTCACGAGGTCCCTCAGGGACTCAGGTTGACACGGGGTCTATCTGGACATACGTTCCCACCATTACTGCGGAGGACAGAGTAATGTACTAGCAGTTAAATGCTTCTACCCAGAAACGACACGTGGGACCTCCGATCAAGGTAAGTCCCGCGGCATTACCCCTCTCCCCAAAGGGGGCAGGGAAGTACAATGATCCTCTATGTGTGTCCGGAAGGAAGAGAAGCAGAATGTGTGGGCAATCCTCAAGCGAACCCCCCTTACACCGGAGCAGTGAATCCCAGGCCACAAACATACAAGTGACTTTCTAGAAGGCTCCTTAATTTCCTAGTTGGTCTGATTCTGCTGAGCGGGTGGAAGATTTCACCTCTGTTGTTCAGGTCAAGTTTCCTAGCTCTGGTACAGTGTCAGGATGTCAGGGGAAGAGAAGCTTTCATGCCATTTATTATGGGCTGAATTGTGTCTCCCCCCCCCCCCAAAGTCACACGGTGAAGCCCTAACACCCAGCACCTGAGAATGTGACTGTATTTGGAGACAAGGCCTTTAAGAGCCGATTAAGTTAAAACAAAGCCATTCGGGCGGGCCCTAATCCATCTGACAGGTGTCCTCATAAGAAGAGGAAATTTGGGCACACAGAGAGACATCAGGGGCGTGCCTGCACAGAGGAAAGGCCATCTGAGGACATAGCGAACACACCACGGAGAGGGGCCCCAGGAGAAGCCAAGTCTGCTGACACCTTGATCCCAGACTTCCAGCCTCCAGAACCGTGAGAAGGAAATGTCTGTCATGTTAGCCACCTGGCCTGCAGTACCTGGCAGGCCACTACACCACTGGTCGCGTGTTCCCAGCTGTTACCCCTAAGGCCTCCGGTGCTCCTGGCGATAGGGACCTGCTGAGCTCAGAGCTCTACAGTGTCTGTATCACTTGGGCTTGGAGACCGCTGTGCCCAAAGTCTTCCTCCCGAGGCTCACAAGGGCACCACCTCATCTGGAGCCCGGCCTCCCCCATGCCTGGTCCTCAACGCTCAGGGACACATAGACCTGACTCCCAAGGGAATCCCCACCTGCTGCCTTCAGTAACCCAAGGCATTTGGGACAAAGTCAGGAGGTCAGCCACCATCTGTGGGCTTCCCTGGGTAAAGAAGGACAAGACCCAACTCCCCCTGACATGAAAGGGAAAAGAAAGCGAAGCTCAAGAAGGAAAAGACACAATTACTATCTCAAAATATTATCCTATTTCCTGCGAGTGACCTGTTGGTGGTGGGAGGGGGGCTATTTTGATCCTCACATATTGTCATTAGGACCAAGCTTGCTGTGTACAAGATAGTTTCTTTCTCTCCCGTTAAGGAAGCCTGTTGGTAGCAGTCCAGTGCTGGTACAGCACCACCATCACTGGGGACAGGACTTGTTGTTCTGTCTATTTGAGAAGTCCCAAGGCATAGCTTCCCAAAGTCACCTACCTCATCATCCAAGATGGCTGCCAGAGAGTCGGTCATCACATCAGCATTGTAGGAAGCAGGGGGACAAAAGAGCACACCTCCTAGCTGAGTCAACGCCCATTAAGCAGTCTGTGTTAAAGAAAGTCTCATACTTCTGCTAACATCCACTGACCAAAACTTAGTCATGTGAGTGACTACAAAGGGTCAAGGAATGTCCCCTTACACCTGCCTGCTTCACTGAACCACGAAACACCAGGGTGTGGTTACTAAGGAAGGGAAGATTAGATAGCAACCAGTCATCAGATACCCTGAGTCCCTATGAGGAAATCGAAGGTCAGGGAGAAGACGCAACTTGCCCAAGGTCCATACCTCATGAGCAGAGGCAGCAGGGAGGTAGGACTGGAACTTGGGCCACATAGGGTTAATTCCATCGCCATAACAAGGCTTCCAGAATTCCCCACATTCTGGCCACTCTTCAGCGTGGTGTTTGTTGCCATCTGGAAAGTGCTCCTAGAAGAACAGGAGCAAGCAAGTCTTTCCGGGAAGATTAAAAATTTGAATTTTTAATGTCAATGAGTGTCAATGTCTGCACTGGTAGGAGTTAATACTCGTACAGCCTCCTTGAAGAGTGTGCTGGTTCAGATTAGGTTGAACTATAAGAGAAAAATCCAAAGCGGTTTAAACAAAGTAGACATTTTTTTCTCCCTCATATTCAAAAAGCCATCATAAGGGGCACCGGCTGGCTCAGTCGGCTAAGCTTCTTTCTGACTTCAGCTCAGGTCATGATCTCACAGTCCATGGGTTCCAGCCCGCGTTGTCCTCCGTGCTGACAGCTCAGAGACCGGAGCCTGCTTCAGATTCTGTGTCTTCCTCTCTCTCTGTTCCTCCCCCCATGTGTGCCCTGTCTCTCTCTCTCTCTCTCTCTCTCTCTCTCTCTCTCTCTCTGTCTCTCTCTCTCTTAAAAATATATAAACATTAAAATTTTTTTTTCTAAAAAGGAAGGAAGTCCAAGGCCACCATGGATGCACCAGTGTCAGGACATGGGCTCCTTCTGTCTTGCTGCACTTCTGTGAGAGGCTTCCGTTCCCAAGATACTCTGTGATTCAAGATGGCTGCTACAATACCAGCCACTGCAACCACATCCCAGTTAGCAGGAAGGAACAGAGCCTGTTCTCTCTCTAAGGAAGTTGTGTGCATGCTTGCATCCCATTGGCCAGAACGTAGTCACATGGCCACACCCACCTGCAAGGATGGCTGGAAAATGTAGTCTTATTCCAGGAAGCTGTGTATCCAGCTTTTAAAAAAACCAGGGATTCCATTACAAGGGAAGAAAAGGAGGGGCGCCTGGGTGCTCAGTCAGTTGAGCATCTGACTTCGGCTCAGGTCATGATCTCATGGTTTGTGAGTTTGAGCCCCGCGTCGGGCTCTGTCTGACAGCTCGGAGCCTGGAGCCTGCTTCGGATTCTGTGTCTCCCTCTCTCTCTGCCCCTCCCCCACTCACGCTCTGTCTCTCTGTCTCAGAAATAAATAGACATTAAACAAAAATTTTTTTAAAAAACAATGGAAGAAAAGGAGGACATATATTGGAGGACGGCTATTAGTCTCTGCCAGAAGACTGTAAGACTAATTAAAACTAATGAAGACCGTGTGCTCCAGTAATTCCACTTGCATGAGTTACCAAAAGCGTACTTATAAGGATTTTTGCCACTGTGCTGTCTGTTGTTGCAAAATAGATCAGGAACAGAAGTCCATCCCAAGGGGACTGGTTAAATAAATTGCTATATATCCATAATGTATGCAGCTGCCGGAGGGAAGCAGCTCTCGCATCTGACATGGGATGATCCCAAGATCAGATGTCAGTGAGGAAAAAATCTACAGAACGTCTACGTTCCCAGAACAGGGGTAATGAATACACACGGGGGCCTCTGGAAGGCAATGAAGCCCCTGGCCTCGGTGGTGCTTCGGGGGGGAAGGGGACAGGGAACCTGAAAGTCAAGGTAGGGAGGAGAGTCAAACTTCATCGTACACCTCCCTGCACCTCGTTTTTTTTGAGTGTGTGTGTGTGTGTGTGTGTGTGTGTGTGTGTGTTTTGGCATGTACGTCTATTACCTATTAAAACACAAACTTTAAGATCAGAACAAAAAAAGTGGTAGGCTTCTAGCCTCTTCTCTTCTGTTGGTGCCTCCCTGTTGACACAGCCATTTGGTCCGTCACCACACTGAGCAAACCCCGGCTGTGAGTCTGGTATCTCGGCACAGGCGTCCCGGGCTGCAGACACTGAATGCAGCTCCGGGCTGGACTGTCCGGTCCCGCCAGGCCCCCAACGTTTGCCCTGCCTGGGAGGCGCTGCAAGCCTCCTTCCCCCGCCCCCAACAGGCTTCTAGGAAAGCTGAGAGAAGCAACCTCCTGACAGCCCCAACGGTCCCCTCCCCGGCTGTGCCTTTGCACTTGCCGGTGTCTGGGCCCACGGACGGCCCTCTGGGCCCCGGATCCCGGCGAGCGTGCCTCATGGGCCCCCCCCCCCCCCGCCAGTGCCCTTGCTGTTCTCCCACGAAAGAGGGCTGGCAGCGCAGGCGGGGCTGGGCCTGACCCTCAGCACCCCTGTGGTCCCACTGAGCCTTCCTCCTCCTCGCTGGCACAGGGGATCGCGTAACTGGCAACTCCCTTTTTCTCCGGCTGCCCAAAGTCTCAGGGACAGACTTCAGTACAATGGCAGCAACATGGACACAGCCCTCTCTCTTATTCACAGGTTGCTTTATTCTGGCCCCTTTTCAGCGTATCCCATCAACTCCCTGCCATCCTACCTTCGGAGCACCTGTTACGTGGCAAGCACTGTTCTAGGGGCTAAAAACAATCCAGTTGTCGCTACTGCCCCATAACCATCTGCCAGCCGTGCACGCCTACCGTTTCCTAACCCTTACAAGAGGCCCTCGAAGACAGGCCTTCTAATCCCCATTTTCCAGATGCCGAACGGGAGCTGGGGGAGGAGAAGCGGCCTGTCCAAGATGGCGGAGCAGAAGGAGCAGAGAAAGGATGGGGCCCGCAGGGCTCATCCCAAACCCCGGGCTCCCCAACAGGGTAGGGAGACAACAGCTCACAGAACCATGATTCTCTTTCCACGTGCGTCTCCTCTGCTCAAAAAGGGGCCTGGGGCAGGGAGCCCTGGGATCCGACTTCCCTCCATGTCCCCAGCAGCCAGCCTGGGCACTGGCCAGTGTTCCTTGGCTGAGCAAACGAAGGGGCCCAGAGCCTCCCAGGGCTGGGGACACAGGACCTGCCAGGACCTCTGTACGTCGCGGGTTCTCGCCCCGGCCCCGGCGCTCCGGCAGAACCTCCACAGCTACACCTTCTGCTCCTTTTGTTTTTTATTAAAAAATAGATCAAGAAAATATCCACACTTCAGCCCACCTGCCAGAGTGGGCTCTGAAGAGGCCAAAGTGCCACGGGGAGGGGACTTTGGAAGGGACGAGGGAGGCCAGACCGGTCCCGGGTGTGCAGGCTTTGGAGAAAGGAGACGCCCTCAGCAGGCCCTGGGAGATCGGAGTCTGGGCCATGTCGCTGAGCAGGGTGAGGGCAGGTGGAAGGGGGAGGCGGCCCCCAGCTAGAGCAGAGGTGGCCACAGGCAACGCAGAGGGCAGGACAGGGCCCGCACGGGGCTGCCGCCCACAGAAGGTCCTGTGACCTCATCCCCCTCCACCAGGGGCTTTGCGCGCCCTGGCCTTCTCTCCAGTCTGCCCTCTGCGGGCCCCAGCAGGCCTTCCTGCCAGGGTGGCCACACTCAGGCGTTGATAGCCTTCCAGCGCTCACTGTCTGTGCTGTTGATGCTGCCAGTGTGGCAGGGCATGGAGGCGATGTCGTCCAGGTAGGCCACCCCTCCGGCCGAGTCGAACTGTGTACTCGCGGCCCCTGCCGCCTCCGGTCCCTCTCGCCGGGCCACCGCGTAAGGCTGGGGCAGGTGCACGTCTGGTTCCTCAGTCTCGTCCACTTGGCATTTGTAGGAGAAGAGGATCTTGGGCTCCGAGCTGGTGGGGAGGACAGAGAGACAGGGAAGCTCCACCGGAGGGTCAAGAAAGGCTTCCTTTTCTGGGCAATAAGGCCTTCGGCCAGGGAATGAGACACACGAATGGCTGCCTAACCGCCACCCTGGGAGGTCCCCAAGGCTTGGACTCTGGAGTCCAATGGGACTTGTTTCAAAACTCAGCCCATATGTGAGCTTGGGCAAGGACTTCTGCGCCTGTTTCTGTACAACTCTGAGCTCAAGAGGGTAAATGGAGGTAAATTCCGGCCCCGAGGTGCTCCGCAAACACCAGCTGTGACCTCCACCCTTGCAGCTTTATGACCTCTCACTTTGCATTTACCCGGTCCCTCCAGCATTGCGATAACACTGATGGGGAAGCACTGCACCCGATTTGCAAAAAGGAGCCTGAGGCCAGGGAGATAAATACACGTGCAAGGTCCCACACGGATCAGGGTTGGGCTGGGGTCCAATCCAGCCCCTCTCACCCCACCTCTGATGCCCCCACCTCCTCAAACCCAGCAGGTGGGGGAGGATGCGGTGGCAGGTGGGGGTGGGGGGCAAAACGCCAGCACTCCTGCCACAATAGAGGCCCAGGGTCCAAGCCTCCATCCCACGTGTCCTTAGCATCCTGTCTCCCTGCCACGTGCACCAAAGTGCACCCACCCTACGCTGCACTACAGGCCGGCTTCCCCCAGGCCTGCTCCTCTCCCCAGCCACTCCCAGCTTGAATCCGGGGGCATGGTGACTTGTGTCTCCTTTGTCCCCTGCGGTGTCTGGCGGCTGCAGTGGTGCGGGACACGGAGTAGGTATTCAGTGAACGCTTGCTAAAAGAATTAGCTAATCTACCGTAGACCGAAAAGCAGCAAGTGTAGAACAGCGCAGAGCCACTCTCCTGCGGGGAAAGTGCGTTATGTCTGTGTGTGTTGTATATATAACGTGTGACGTGCATACATATATAATGTGCGAATGTGTATGCGTGCGTGTAAGCACGTGTGGGAATATACATACACCCTTCATCAGCATCGCCTTCCTGGTATCCGAGCCTGCGCCGGGGCGAGGGACGCTCAGGACCCCGCAGCTGCGGGTGCGCAGGCGCAGGAAGCTGGAGGCGCAGTTCCGCCGGCAGCCACGAGGCGGAGCTCACGGCCCTCAAACCACCAGAGGCGGGGTGGCGAGCAGGCAGGCCACCGCCTACCCCTCGGGGCCCACACCCCTTGCCCACCCCCCCCCCGCGCCCCCCCCCCCCCGGTGGGAAGACTCACCCGAAGAAGCCCCGGAGGAAGGCCACGTAGATGAGGGGCGCAAAGAAGCTGAAGTAGAGAAATGTGGTGGCATCTACACAGCTGGGGGGCAGGAGGAGCGGGTCAGGGAGGGGCCTCCTCTGGGTGGGGCCTCGGCTTGGCCTCC